CCTCAGCACGAGAGATTCCAGCAGGCCAGAGAGGCGGCGGCCGAGAGCCGCCATGGCCCATCCCACGTACCTGCTTTCCCTGCCGGGCGCTGAAGACTCCTCGGCTGCGCAGCCCCGCGGTCCAGAGGCGCTCGGGCGGGCCGGGCTCTGCACGGGCTCTGCAAGCACGGCGCCGTCAGCGCGACCGCGGTACCCGGGCCCGCCATGACCCCGCGCCCCGCCCTTACCTGCGAGTCGCTCCAGCGGCGCCGGGCTGCCAGCAGGACCGCGAATGATGTCCTGGAAGACAGAGGCGGGGGCCACGTCAGAGCCGGGCCGGGCAAGGCCGGGTGGTGCTGCGACCGCGCCGGGCGCTCACCAGCACGGGGCTCGGGCTCCGCCGGGCCGGCGGCCGGCGGGCCATCACGCTGAGCCAAGCCCGCTCCGCGTCTGCCTCCGCGCCCTGGGGCTGCGAGTCTTCCACGATGAGGAGGGGCGTCTCCTGCTGAGAGAAGCCAGGGTCCAGCGGGCTGTTGCCGCCGCGCTCCATGCAGGACGCCACAGGCTGCGGAGCCCGGCCGGGCCCTCCACCGCCCGCCCGTCCGCCGCCCAACCCAGCCGCACTTCCCGCCGCCGCCATCTTGCCGCGCGCCGATTGGCGCGCGCGAGGCGCCCGCCCCGCGCTATTACCGGGGGGACGGGGCGGTGTTACCGGGGGGACGGGGCGGTGTTACCGCATGCGGCGGTGGCGGGGCCCGGAGCCTGCGGACCGGACCGAGATCGCCCCGCAGCGGCGCCGCCCGCGCGGCATTCCGCGGCAGCTCAGGAGAGACAAAGAGCCTCGCTCCTTTCGTCCGCGGTGCTCGCTCGAGGGCGAATGCATCGGCCTGTGGTGCATGGCGGGCCAGGCGGCGGCGGAGGTCCGGACCGGGTGCTGGGTTCGCGCCGGGAATAGTCCGCACGGTGCTCTCCCGATCCCCTTTTCATCTGAGGTACAAAACAGCCCAGTGCTGGGGATCCCGCACGGACCGAGCATCGCGTACCCCGGACAGCCACCATCTGGTCCTTTCTTGGATATCACGGGAGAGTGAAATCCTGTTAATTTCCCTGTGTTTATATGACCAAACGGTTATCGGAGAAGCCTTGCGCATAATTGTGACAGTATTGTTGTCTTTCCAGCATTCACCTTCTTGCCTAAAAAATAGTGAGTTTGAATAGCGTAATTTAAATCTACTTTTGCAAGTTCTGTTTTTTATTTCTGCACCTCTGTATTTTATAGATGAGAATTCTGTATATTTTATGTAATAATATGTTGTAGAATCAAAACCACAGAATCGGAAAAATGGTACCTTGAAAGAAACGCTTACTATGTAAAGTCAGAGATAAAAGATTGTACATAGCGAAACACTGTAAATATGAGTATGTTACGAATTTTGTGTGTAATGTGAAGTCCAAGTTTGCACATGCATGTTAAGAATATTAAAAAGGCTACAAATGTTTGCAATTGCTACACAGGAGGGATACTTTAGTGCTTGATTGTTCAAATCCCAGAAGATGCTCCTTTGTATATTAGAAGATGCTTCAGCATGTATATTAAGCTGTATTATTGAAATGGGTTTTTTTTAGAAGTGTTAACAGTTACCTTACAAAATTCACAGTGGATAATGAAGACTAGAAACAGCAAATGTGCCAGTCACTTTCTCAAAATTCCTTTCAAATTCTTAAAAACTTTGATTAAAAAATCCTCACACAAATTAGGTTTATATCTGGAAGACAAGGAGTTAAGAGCCAACATAGATCTCTAAAGACAAGGTGCTTAACACTGATCTTATGTCAGAGCAACAGAACATAAGTGGCAGAATAACAACTTTACTAATAGAAAGACTTTTAGCAGTATCTATATAGGATTCTCATAAGCAAACTAGGGAAGCATAGTGGTGATGAAGTTTCAATAAGGTAAGTAAAAAACTTGTTTGGTATAGAAAGTAATAATCCTTACTTCAAAACAAGTACATTTAAGTGAGGGTTCAAACATCAGTGTGCTGTTCCTAGTCCACTGTTCTTTAATCACTTTGGTCACAAAATAAGTACACTTATAATCCACAAGCAATCTGAAATTGAGGGGGACTAGAAGTACTAGAAGAAAGGTGTTTTTTTTTTAATTGTCTGGAAAATGGACAAAGTACAATGCAGGTAAGAACAATGTTATATAGAATTAAACAACTGACTTCACAAATTCAGGAGGGGGCTGCTGGGCTGTATGGTATTTCTGCAGAATAAAGCAATGGAGGCAATAAAGCAATAAAGGATTGACAAACTGAGTCAATATCATTCTACTGCCACAAAAAAAAAAAATGGAGCAAACAATAAGCATTATACTTGTGTGTAGTATGTAGACCTTAGACGCATGAAGTAATTCTTGTACTCTCTACTGGCACGGCCTAAGTTAAGCCCTGCATCTAGTGAGAAGATGGCAAAAGATTTGACTACCATAACATTCTTCAAATAGAAAAAAAGTTGGTGGCAAATAATTTGTTTCTCAATAATACGTACAGTTTAGAGGACAACTGAATTTGCTTTCAAATTAACTCCAAGGAGGTGTAAATTAAAGACTAAACAAATAAGTAAAAATATTTTAAAGGCAAGCCTAAAGAAGTTCTAAAAAATCATGCCATATCTAACATTTAAGATTTTGTTGTTTTGGTTTTTTTTTCAGTAGAAACAAATGTAAATGTGTAGAATTGATCTTGGTCTGAAATGGGAAGTTGACTACATTATCTTTAGAATCTCCTTCCAGTCTTGTTTTTTTTTTTTTTTTTTTTTCAATAGGACAAAATTGAAAACTCAGTCCAGGTGGTCAAATTTGTAAATGCCAAATATGTGTGTGTTTTAAAGCTGACTGCACGTTATTTGTGTCAAATTTGTAATCTCACTTTTTCCAGCTTTGTTATGCTATGAGAATAAATGCACTCCCTTCTTTATAACATAAATACCTTCATTTAAGTATTTTTCTGCAGCTGGCAGATTGCCTTTTTTCTGAGTCTAATTATAAACTACAAACAGGGCATGGCTATCTTTGTCTAAGAAAGAATAAAAGAGCATAATGAATCTTTGCTTCCTTTTGCTTCAAACAAAACATGTCCAACACCAGACTTCCAATGAATGAAGGTGTGGTGACTGATTTTTCATATTTGGAGGATTTTTCCAAATTTCTTGTATCTTACAGAATTTGCAATAGTGAGCTGACGCTCTAGTTGATCTTCATCCAAAAGCTCCCTGCCACTGCAGACCACTAACTATGGGAAACAGTAAGCAGGACTGCTATTCCTCATTCTCATTTCTTGCACTTTGAATCTGGTTCTCCATGTCTCAGTGTAGCCCTAGGCCCCATCTTCAAAACTGGACAGTATTCCTAGAAAAAGGACCAAATTCCAGACCTGATTTCAAATGAGACTTAGTTACAACAAACGAAGATACCCAGCAAGATAGCTAAGCTTGCTAAAAGACTAAGGATGCTACTTGTCTTTGGAAAACCAGCTTTATGTTTTGTACTGTGGATTTTAACTATTGTGATGCAGACGCATTTAAAACCTACCCGGCCAATTTCCGTATGCACTGTTCTCTGCGCCATTACTTTAGGAACAAATAGTGCCTGGCATTCACCGCTCTCGGGGGCCGTGAGTGCAGAGGCTCGGCGTGCTACCGACGGCTGAGTCACCGCGAGCCGCCAGCACGACACCCAAGTGGCCGGGGGAGCGGAAGCGACCGCCGCCTTCCGCCCTCGCTCCCGGGTCACGGCAGAGCTCCTCTGGAGTCCCGTCCCGCTCTGCCGGGGCTGCCCAGACGGGGCCCGCAGCGCCCCAGCGCTCCCGGGCCCCGACGCACGGCTGCCCGCTCTCCCCGCGGTACTCCGCGGAGAAATCGAACGCGGGTGATGAAGACGGCGGCGGCGGCCAGGCCCGGCCCCGCTCGCCCACTTTAGCTGCACCGCGCCGACGAACAAGACTGATGCTACCCTGCTTACATCAGGAGAGCGCCGCCGGCGGGACCAGCCTGCCTCCTGCACCGCCCCGTCCCGG